TACGCAGACGAATTCGGATTAGATCCAAGCGGTTCACTGGAGGAACTTCGGAAAAAACTTTCAACGTTCATGGACTCAGAGGCAACTGAGAAAGATACCGCCCGGCTACAGGAACTCGCTAAACTACATATCAGAAGCTCATCACCGGGAGTCATTGAAAATAGACGTCCTTCGATAACTAAGGAAAGAAGTGTAACCATGGCCGAATATCCAGTAATCATCAATCAAGTCAGAAAATGGGAATGCCACTACTCAGGGGAACACGAAATACTACCATTTATAGAACGGATCGAGGAACTGGCGGATATGTACGGAATACATAGGGACTTATTACCGAAACTAATGCCTGAAGTACTAAAAGACAAGGCACTGATCTGGTTCAGGAATAACAACAAGCGATGGACCGAGTGGCCATCATTCAAAGCAGATATATTAGCATTCTTCTTGCCCCAAGATACTTCGAACAATTAGAGGACAAAATACGAGCCCGCCTGCAACAACCCAGGGAACTGTTCAGAGATTATGTATTAGCACTGCAGAACATCATGCGACATTCAACATACAGCGAAGAAATAAAATTAGAAAGGATCTATTGGAACAGTCGTACCGAGAATCAATGGTACATCCGTAGAAAAGACTTCCAGTCATTATCAGAGCTGTTGACATTAGCTGGGGACCTGGAGGCACTGACCGCTACAGACCTTCAAGTAAGAAATACGTTACCAGCTAAGGAGATCAAAGCACGAGTGATTGATGCATCTGAAGACAAGATCAAAGATGTCAGGACAGCTTGTCGTGGTTGCGGGCAACAAGGACACTTGAGGTGGAATTGTCGTTTTACAAGCATCTTATTTTGCTGGGAATGCGGGAAAAGAGGAAAACATACAATTGATTGCTGCAGGAACCAGGGAAACGAGGTCAGGGTCCATCGACAGAACGGGGCGATGAGACCACAAGACAACACCCCGTCCCACCAGTAGGATGCATGAAGCTCAGTGAATCACGTCTGTCCGCCCAAGTAACTAATAACCCACAAGAACAACCAACGCCGTCACAGCGACAGAAAGTTGGTTCTCCTCATCTGATTAGAAAAGTAAATAGATCATTGAATCAAAACAAAGAATGTTGTTTTTTAACTCAGGAGCCATCCAGATCGAAAAATCGGACACAAGTGAAAGACCGAAGTAAATTTCAACAGGATTGCTATCAAAATAACATAGAATTACCAAGTCAAGACATACACCGCCAGCAAAACACAGAGTCTAACACAGAATTACCGAGTCAAGAAATACACCGTCAGCAAAACACAGAGTCTAACACAGAATTACCGAGTCAAAAAATACACCGTCAGCAAAACACAGAGTCTAACACAGAATTACCGAGTCAAAAAATACACCGTCAGCAAAACACAGAATCTAACACCGAATTACCAAGTCAAGAAATACATCGACAAAACACAGAGTCTAACACAGAATTACCGAGTCAAGAAATACACCGTCAGCAAAACACAGAGTCTAACACAGAATTACCGAGTCAAGAAATACATCATCAGCAAAACACAGAATCTAACACCGAATTACCAAGTCAAGAAATACATCGACAAAACACGGAGTCTAACACAGAATTACCAAGTCAAGAAACACCAGGTCAACGGAACACGGAACCTAACACAGAATTACAAAGTCAGGAGACACAACTTAACAACCAGTTGCAAACTCAAGTCCAAATAATACACCGCCAACAATCTACAAGGGAGTTTCTAGCACAAAGCCAAGAAATACAACGACAGCAAAACTCAGAACCTGACAGACAGTTACGAATTCGAAGCCAAGAATGTCGAGCACAAGTTTCAATTAATCGCGTTAGTCAACAGGAACAACTGCCACCTCAGGAGAACTTTAACGTAGATCAACCGAAGGCAAAAGAACTGTTATATTTTATATAACCAACTGAGTTTATATATCTAAGTAAAACAATAGGTCTTTACCTTATGACAGCCTGACTTCGACTGACTCTCTATTTATACAATATGTATTACAACTAATAATTACAGAGTTGTAATTATACTACTTAATTATACAACATCTTCCTTTTTATAACTTAGACTAATAATCTTAACATAGGTCCATGGACTTACTTAGAAATTATTAACTTAAATTATACAATCCAAAATCTTACATTCTAAATTTTTAAAATGATATTATTATTAAAATATAAATGTATATTCTTAGTATATAGGAAATTTTAAACTATTCGCAAAATATAAATAACAATAAATTTTATGTGGTTTTATAAGTTAACCTTTCAGGAGGAATTATTTTTCTTCCACTTTTTGATCTCTGAATATTTTCATTTGTTTTGAGATCACCTAAATCGTTATTTTGTTTTACAACTTCTTCAGTCTCTGTTTCTATGACTTGTTCTTTTTCTTTTGTACAAATTTCTTGAGATGTTTCAGTTATTTCAATATTTGGTATTTTTAAAATATGTTGCCTATTTCCTCTATACTCTACTCCACTTAAATCTTCAACTAAAAATGATCTAGGCTGTTTACAACTTTCTACTATTCTTCCTGGAATCCATACTGAAAGGATTTTTTTTAAAATATACTTTTTCTCCTACCTCTATAGGCTTTAGAGTTTTTGAGGCTCTAATATTATTTTGTGACGAATTTTGATTTGTTTTTGAATAAACATTATCTTCTTTTACTTTGTTGGGCAATTTAGACTTTAAATTATAGACAATGATGGTAATTTCGTTCAGAGTTTTCTAGCCATTAAAAGTTCAGCTGGACTAGCAAAATTACTTGTAGGGGACGCACGATACTGAAGCAAAGCTGTATAGTAATCCGCTCCCGTTTCTAGACATTTATTAAGTAACTTTTTAATAGTTTGTACTGATCTTTCAGCAAGACCATTTGACCTTGGTGAATATGGACTCGACGTGATATGATCAATACCCCAGTCAACACAAAAATTTTTGAAATCGAGAGAATTAAATGGCGGGCCATTGTCTGATATTAAGTATATTGGTATTCCATGACGTGAAAATATGCTCTTCAATTTTGTTACAACTGCTAAATTTGAAGAACCCGAGTTTAACCATTCAATCTCAATATATATGGAAAAATAATCTACTACTAGCAAGTAAGTTCTTTTGTTAAATTCGCAAAGGTCTATACCTACTTTGAACCAAGGAATTGAAACTACTTCATGACTTAGCAAGTCTTCTTTGGGATTAGAGTTCCTGAATTTTATACAAATTTCACAACTAGATACTAAATTATAAATATCATTAGCCTTCTTTTAAACATTTTAAAAGTTTTTGATATGTCTCATCGTTTTTTACGAACTGTTTTAAAACTTCAATATCATCTCTCGGTAAAGCAATTTGAGAAGCTATTGAATGACAATGAAGGTCTATATCTTTATCAATATCTGTAAATGATTCAGACTTTAAAGGTGCTCGAGATAATGCATCAGCGACATATAAATGTTTTCCTGGTTTATTAATTACTGTTAAATCATATGCTAGTAATCTAAGCATAAATCTTTGCAGTCTTGAAGGTATTTGATGTAGAGGTTTATTAAAGAGAGATACTAATGGTTTATGGTCGGTTTCTACAATAATATTGTGACCGTACACACATTGATGAAATCGAGTGCAACCAAAAAGAATAGCAAATAATTCCTTTTCTATTTGCGCATAATTTATATGGCACTCCGTTATTGTTTAGTAACATCAAAATATGTTAAAACCGGAGCTTTCGGGATTTTTTTTTTAAATTATTAAATGCTTTCTCTAGAGCTTTATCCCAGTCCAAAATAATATATTTTTTAATAAATTTCTAAGATGGAAGTTGTTTATTGACAAATTGTGAATAAATGATCCTAAATAATTGATCATACCTAGAAAACGTTGGATATCTTCGTTATTAGCGGGTGTAGGAAATTCCGTAATTGCTCTAATTTTTTTAGTGTCTGGTTTAACACCATCTTCATTGAAAACATGTCCAATGAATTTTATATTAGTTTGAAAAAGTTTTGATTTAGTCTTTTGTGAAGACCTACTTCTGTTGCTCTCTTCAATACTTTATACAAAATGTCATTATGCTCGTTCATTGATTTCGCATAAATATGGAAATCATCTAAATATATGATAACTCCTTTAATAGCACCAAAAAGACGGACCATTTTTCCATGGAATATTTCTGGTGTTGCGTTGATTCCAAATGTTAGATGTGAAAATCTAAATCAACCGAAAGGAGTGTTAAAAGTACATAACTTTGAGGAATTTTCATCCGAGGGCACTATCCAGAATCCCAAACTTGCGTCCAGAGAGCTGAAAACTTTTGAACCAGCCATCTGCTACCAACACTTATCTATATTAGGAAACGAAAATCTTGGCCTTACAATAACTTTATTTAAATTACGAAGATCTAAGCATTAACGGATATTGCCATTTTGCTTAGTAACTAACACAATTGAACTAACCCCCTCAGTTGGTTCAGTGACTTCAGTAATAACTTTCAATTCTTTCATTCTTTGTAACTCTTTTTTAAAAGGTTCAAGTAGACTAAAGGGCACTCTATTTATTTTTAGTTTTTATAACAACTTACTGCGTTTACAATTTTGATTAGATTTAACTGATCTGCTACGTTTAAACCCAGAACATTATTACACTGCATATCGACAACATGAAAAATAGCCTCTTGTCTAATACTGTTATGTTAAATAACACATCTACATGAACTTTTCCTATTATACGTAATTTTTCTTCACTAAAAGTTCTAATATTATTAAAAAATTTTTCTAATTTAATATTATACCGACAATAAATATGCTTCCGCTCCAGAATCTATCTGGCAGTTCACTTTTACGCCTTCTATATTGACATCAACATTCCATGATTTATTTTATGCAAACTTGCTTATTGTTCTAACAAATAAATCGTCATCAAATAATTTTGTTTCTTCAGAAACGTTTTTTATATAGCGGCTTTTACGGTACTGTTGTTGTTGCTGCTGCTAAAGCACAATTTCTGGTCTTGCAATCCGTTTGTTTTTTTAGCCCAGCAACCACGTTTTCATTTACTGTTTTCAGTATTGTTGTTGCATTTTGTCGTGCAATTTCAATATTTTTTGCTATTTCCAACGCTTTACCCCATTTAATATCACCTTCACTCAAAAGACGTTCTTTGATATGTTTAAAGTTGAGGGATAAGCCACAAATAAATACATCTCTAACCAAATCTTCACGCAGATCTTTAAACTCACATGTAGTGCTCAAGTTTTGTAGCGCTGTTGCGTATTCGCTTATAGTTTCTTCTGAGTTCTGTTGGAGCGTAAAGAATTTGTACCGTTCCATAGCCACGTTAGCTTTTGGAATAAAGTATTCACTGAAATTTTTTAACACATTTTCTAATTTTACTTCTTCTATATCCATGTTAAATGAATTAAAAATGTCAATACAATCTGCCCCCAAGTGGTGCAGTAAAAGTGCAACTTTGCGACGTTCTTGTTGTTCTTCTAAATTCGTTGCAAGCATAAAAATATGGAACTGCTTGCTCCAACTTTTCCATTCTTGAGCCAGATTAGTTGACCTTATATTTAACGGCGGTAGCGTTGTAGCAAAAATTTGACTATTTCCACTCATTTTATTATGTTTAATTTCTTTTTCTATTTCTTTTTCATCACCTGACACCATGTTATATTTTATATAACCAACTGAGTAATATATTTATGTATATAAGTAAAACGATATGTCTTTTACTTATGACAGCCTGACTTCGACTGAATCTATTTATTCAATATGTATTACAACTAATAATTATAGAGTTGTAATTATACTACTGAATTATACAACA